TGCCACTCTTATTTCCATTGTATTGACCATTACCTCGGCCTTGCTGCGATCTTCCTCGTCCAGCATTTCTTCCATTGGAACCACGTCCAGTATTTTGAAATCGTCCACTCATCATGAGCAAGTTCCTGTTCTTTCAAGTTGTAGGAATATATCGACTCCCAATTCAATTCATTGACTTTTTATAATATATGTTAGAAGTAAGTGATCCACTGCCGTCTGCAATCTACCTGTTCAATTGACTGCAATTTAGCTGTCTAGGTATTGTTGCCTTCTAAGTATATGAATTTACAGTATATAGAAGTATATAGATCTATCAGAGATCCTACTTTATCAACCAATTCACTCGTTGCTTGCATTATATTATGAAAAGTGAGAACAGTCTGTCATTTTTTGACTTTGACTCTTTCTTCTCCAGCTCAGTGGAAATTCTCAGAATTCTCTCTATGTCAGCCTGACATGCTGCAAGTTCAATCTGTTTATCCGTTCATCTTCCACAGTAGCCGGTACGTTGATTAGTATCCAACTTTTGTTCTTGCTTACATCATCAACATGATGATTTCCACAGAAATAAATTGTCTTTTCTGACTCGCCACGCGCGATATTTTTAGTTGTATCAGTCGAAATCATTTCTCTACCGTTCACATGTATTCTCTTTTTCTCGTTTCTCCAAATATGTACTTTGAAAATCCAAATATATCCAACAGCATTTCCCCAATGATTGCTACCAGTGTTGGCATCAATCTCGTAGGCATGTCTCACGTCTTTTGGACCACTACCAGGCAATTCGAAACCAAATTTAACAGCCTTTAGAATTCTATCACGCTTCTTCAAAGTATAAGGAACCCACCAAGAGAAAGCAGGCTGAGATACAAGTTTGTTAGCAACAGCATATTCGGCCACCTGAATTGGATAGGCCTCCTTTGCAGTTTTCAAATCAATCCATTCTGTCTCATCACCATGAATTTGAGCACACAAATACCACCCTTTTGTAGTTCTTCGAGGAACTTTCTTATTCTTTACCATGAAAAAACCATCATCAGCATGGACCCGTGTGCCATCCGTCCTGTGATCAATAAATCCTTTCACATGGAGGATACTATTACTGTCATCATCAACATTCATCATCATTGCTTCAATAACTTTGTTTGCACAATAGGATTCAGTTTCACCATCATGCCATTCGATTTCATAAATAGAAGTGTCCAAGACAGGCTTCTCATGATACGAACCAACCATCAGGCCATCTGCTCTTATTTTTCTTCCACAAACAACTCCAAATTTGTTAATACCATTTTCATTCTTCCAGATCTTAACACCAACATATTTGTCAAATTCCACCTGGTCATCTTCTTCAGATGGGGCTTCCTCAAAAAGCTCTTCATGCTGCAACATTTCATCATCTTCATATTGTTCAAAGTGGGGAGTGTTAGCGTTCATGTGTAGAGGTCTGATATACTTTTCATCAGCTTTGTAGGCACCCAAAGGATCCTGCAAATCATCAATCTTGATGGGGTCAGAGTTTTTCAAACAGTTATGCAAGTCTTCAGTAAAACGCTTTTTCAGGTCTTTGATATCTGTACTATCCCGCTCTTCTCTAGAGAGAGGAATCACACTTGATAGCTGTAAAACTTTTCCACAATGAAGTGGCACATGCAAAACACAGAGATCCACCAATATTAAAACTGGGTCCAAGCCAATGACACAATTGCTTATTCTCTTGACTGCAGTGTGATGGGGACAAAGCCCAACACCAATCATAGATACCAAAATCAGCCAGATGCAAGATATCGTTCATAAACCGAACATACATTTTTGTTGCTTCACAAATACAATCTTCAGCAAGATTTTGATCAGGATTATAAGGCTCGCTAGGATGTATTGGAACCTGGATCTTATTTGCGACTCTTCGAAATCATCAGGTCGCAGAACTCTTGGAAAGCCAATATCAGGAAATAGTTCCTTGAGCGAGTTGCTCACTTCAGATTCTTTCTTCAAAGCGTAGCTACGGGCCCATTGACAGGCAGCAGCATATACAGCAACATACTTATTTCCTTCAGCAGAAACACAGGGGCCTTGTTTGATATCGGCCCAAATATCAGCACGCAACCTAGGATATTCAAGTTGGAATTGAGTGGAGCAAAATCGTCTTAAGCCTTCGACTTCAATCCAGTCCCGCAAAGCACGCTGGGTTGTTTTCTTGAGAGTACGACAGGCACATTCATTCGCCATCTTTGCGCAAGTTGTTCAGGTTTGACCAAATAGCTCTTGCCATTGATTTTAACACCGTTGATGGTTGCCTCAACTCTGTCCCATAAAGCGATAGGAAGAGCGTTCAACAGAATAGATTTGTTGAGTGGCTAGGTCCCCTTTATATTCATGTCGTAAATTTTGTTCAATGCAAGAGGATTCAGGATCATAAGGTTCCCAAGGGACGGAACTGGTCATTTCCACCAAAATATTTCATCAAGTTCAGACAGCGCAGGTTTGCGACAAGCAAAGAAGCTTATAGGCTTCAGGAAGTCCATTGGGATATGTAACCCCGAGTTTTCATCAATGAGTGAATGAGAATATTGATTGCAATCTTCGCGCTTTAGACGTTGGAGGGGCACATCATTCACAATTATACCAAAATCTCGAAGTTGATCCACACAAATGAGATTACTTTTCATGGTTGGGATGTACAATGCTTGATCAAAGATCAAGATATACGTTTCAAGGGACAAAGGACAATCATAAGCAACTGCAACTTTCGCAACTTTAACGTTAGGCACACTGCCAAGCAAAGGATCAAAGCCTTTTCACTGTCAAGGTATGAGGATAGGTTGCAAGAACCAAACAATTTTTCGCCAAAAGCACAAGTATTGGCGTGTGAGTCAAGCTCACATTGGGGCAAGGAGTGGGAAAGGGACATTAAAACACAAACACGAGAGGAAAGGGAACAAGTAACATGAATCTGATAGTCAGCCTCATGTCAGCCACGGCCACGTCAAGCTCCGCTACCAACATTGCCAGAAGAGGGTGCTGGAGCTGGTGTAGGTGCGGGTTCTTCATTTTGTTGGCGGTCACGATTTCGTTCATGCAAAGTGTTCAATTCCGCAATGTCACGTTCACTCATAAGACGACTGTTAGCACGTTCACAGGCTTGAAGGACAACACAGCGATCACGATCAGAGAAACGGCTCTAAGTGTCTTGGGAGTATCCACCGTTGTTGAGGATGGTCATGCCATCATCAGACCATACAGTTCCATTGTGGTCTTGACTACCACCTCGTCGCGACCTCCGCCATGTCCATGTTGATCACAATTACGATTATGATTACAACCACCATTATCACGATCACGACCACGGCCACGTCCGCAATTGGAGTTTTGTCACAGTGCGATTGATTTGTTTCACCAAGGAATCAATATTGTCCCACGTTGAGCGGGCAAAGAAAGCAGGGGACCTGTTCAATAACAAGCTCTTGTGCCTCATCCTGAGAGAAATCAAGAACATCTCGAATGTAGTTTCTCCATGCAATTCTTGCAGCGGCAATTGTTCAAAGTCTTTCGTGTTGTTGTAAAAATAACACGGCACAAATTTCAATATTTTCGTTTCGCCAGTTGTTTTCAGTTTCTGATCAGAGTCGTATAATGCAATTTCGCACGACTACGTCAATGTGAGATCATCATTAAAAGAATCGCGCTACAAACAATTATATACCGACTATCAAGCGAGGTATCCTGGGTACGTCTACCGGTGTGGCAAATTACTCGCAACCAAACGGTTTAAACGGTAACAAGTGGCCGTCTTCAGTCAACGCTTGAGACTGAAATGTAGCAACGTGAAAACCACGGATCCTTTGACAATGGGCTATCCAACCTTTGCCGGTCAACCACAAACTTTGGAGACCAGATATTATTTCAAAAAGCCTTCTCAAGCTTTAGCTCACAGCAAAGAGCTTTCTGGGTCTGATAAACCGTTAAAATGCGCTGCTAGTCAGCCAAAACAGATCAATTACTGGACGAAATATAGACAAGGAAAACTTGTGACTACCAGATCCTTTCAGACTACAAAACTACACGTACGGAGGACAGACCACGTACTTCCCAAAATAATGGGAGGTCCCGGAACGAAATGATGTTTGCGAGGCAATCCGGATGGAAGGTAACCCATTTTCGAAGGAAAGGCAAGTATCCTTCTAATGTTGCTGTGATCGTTCCTCCAGATGTATGAATGGTCGTCGGTTGTTGTGCTTGTCGTTTTCCTCGTAGGTAGAGAGCATTGCAGAAAATCGTAACTGTGCTTGCCATATCCAGTAGGATCCACGCCAAGTTGATCAACCACGCATATTTCGTACTTGTCAAACAAATTTCGTTCTCTGGACGACTATGGTCTATTTCCAAATAGGCATTCAATTCATTGCTATTGTTGTTATTACTATTTGTCTTGTGCTTCCGAACGTATTCTCCAAGCAAGCATTGTGTATGCGTCTGCAAGTGTTTCGGGATAGCGAACTAGTTTTGACGACGCGTCGTTCCGCAAATCCGTCACACAATCTCCAAACCGCTTCCTGTCGGCATTGGCCAAGAACAGGCACACTAGCAATGCTTGGCTGGTTGATGCAGTTGTGCCGTTCGCAGTCGTCCAGGTGTCCTCTTTCGTTGTCAGATCACCTCCAAGACTGTTAAACGTAGCGTACTGTGCCTTGAAATCGTTGTAGTAGTCGTCCAGTGTGCCGTTCAGCTGCTTGTATTGCACTAGGTCTAGGAGTGCCTCCGCTCTTGCTTGGGGCTGGAAAGCCAATAGGTTGCCTCCTCCACACAGAACATTCGCATTTTCAAGTAGCGCAATGCAATCGTGGGTGCTTTCGGCCTTGTCGTAGAAAGGCAACTGCTGTAGATGGGCTCGTAGCTTAGGAGAACACTGGGCCATTATGGTGCTCCAGATCTCCAGCTTGACAGCGGGCCAAGTAGCTCCAATGTGTTTGACGTAGGCTGATTTTTCAGACTCATAGAGTAGCAAAGCCTTCACATCATTCTTTTTGGTTGTAGGCTTGATGGGGACTGGAGGTTCCCATGATGGGTCCATCTCCTTCACATAGGTCTTGGCCCATAGCTTGGCAGCACCCACAGAAACCTCTCGGCCAATATAGTTCTTCAACATCATGTAAATCGTTCATATTGGGCGGCGGATCCTTGATTCCTTTCGTCTGGGAACTGGAGCACCGCACCACCCATCTCTTCAATATCTCCCTTGAAAATCTCCTTTTTCCTCTTATTGTCGTTTCTGCCCGCATTGTCCGCAGCCCCACATCTAGGCTGATCATCGCCTCTGCTCGTGTCAGCTGTGGAAGTCTGAGCGGCAGTCATGTCTGATGAGGAGAGAAATAAACGTCAAGACAAAATAAAAGTGTCACTAAAACGGATGGCTCCGGCGCGCTGTTCCTTTGCCTTGTCCGCCGCACTGTAATGCTCTTAGGCTTGCGCCCTGAAAGGTAGTGGATCTAGCCAGGTCCCTATGGATGGTGAGTCCGCGAGCAGTGCTGTTTACGATTGACTGTGCCCGTGGGCAGAGTAGGTAACCAACCATTGGTTCGTCAACAAAAACCTGTGTTTTCAATCCAGGTAATGTTGGAGGCCAATTTCTGACTGTATGGTTCTCCTACTGGGAGGGCTATAATGCACAGACAGGCCTATGCCTCTAGTCTAAAAGAGATAAAAGGACTTTTATTTGAATGTTAATTCCAGTATCTAATTGTTGTTACCTGGATTGAATGAGCATTGCAGCTCATGCAATCCAGTGGCTACTTCTATTTACCTATTTACTAGTTTTTTCATGCTCGGGACCGAGCGACTCTGGTCTGGCAATCCCACCAGCAAAGCCGCGAACGCGATCTGCCCATGTCACCGTTGGTCTGGCCATTTTGGTCATAATCTCGCCGTCCGTATGTCGTCCGCCAGCTCCAAAAATACTACTTCCAACTATTGGAGCGGGCCACGGCATCAAAATTCTCGATAAACTCAACAATCGAAACAGGATGATTACCCGAATCGAAACAGGATGATTACTCGAATCGAACAAACGAATGTCATTAAGAGTGAAGGCGCGTTTCGTACCATTTGGGGCAATCTTGCCACCGGAAGCCAAGCAACGGTAATCATCCTCCTGGGCCCATTCGCAAAGGCGAAAACCTAAATAGGTACTCAAGTTAAACCAAGCTTCCATAGCACAGTGTAAACCGTCCATATGTGCGTTTGTAGCGGCATTCAGAGCCACCAAAGTGGTATGCATCTCAATTGTATCGTTTAGTCGGAGCAATCCCTTACGCGCAGCGTGCGTAACACCACGTTTGCAAATTTAACCCCTCTAATCTCCCTCAGATGAGTCATCTAGTAATGTGTTGTTCACTACTAAATTGTGCGCCACCCTTCAAGCTTTCGAACGGTGGTGGGGAAAGCAGTAGAAGACTTTTGGTTCAATATTTACAGTAGTGTTTATACACGGACCCAATATAATGCGTAAACAATTGGCCCAAAATGTGTAACTCCTCGACTTTTTCACATATTTTGGCTAAAGAAATATTCATCGACAAGTATCATGCCTACAAGAACTGCCAATCATACTGTAACTACCAACCCCAACGGAAACAAAGAAGGCGATGTTACCCTTCTGTTGGGCTTTGTTTCGAGCCCTCCAGTGGTTGTTCGGAGAACCAGCGGGGCTAACTCTTCTCTCTGAAATCTCCTCCATCACTCTTCCTCCTTCCGAGGAGGACGAGGACCTCTGATGCTTCTTGCTGTCGTCCTCGGGCACACTCTACACCACCGTCCGACAGGATTTGCTAAACAGGGACCTCATGAGGTCCGAATGATTTTTGAGAAGCTGGACTGCTTGATCTCCAAGGAAGATGGCGATGGTAAAATCTTCAGAGAGAAGCCCCACATCACTCTTGACAACTTCTTTTCTGGTGATGAGACCCTTGACCATCTTGGCGAACTCGGATTCGCGGCCACCATGACAAGTCGCAGAGACCGGCTGCCCGCAGGTGTGCCCAAGCATCACTTTCATCATGAGAAAGGTCCTGTTGATGACCGCAGCAAGGCCGCAAGATTCATCCATCCTATCACCTGTGTCAAGAAGTTTCCCCAAGACGGCGAGAAGAAAGCCTACACGCGAACTCATGTCTCCTTCCAGAGCACTGGCTCTACCAACTTCTCCACTGTTAATGCTATTAACTCTAGTCGACTCTATGTTGTCAAGAAAGAGAGAGGTGTTGGCAAAGAAAAGAGAATCTGGGGTGTCGAGAATAATCCCGCAAGGACCCTCTACCTCAGCCACTACGGTAGGATCGACACTGATGATGCTATGATGGCCGGCACTCAAATCCAATACCGTTCTAGGAAGTACTGGCATTCTGCAATGCTTCATGGTCTTAGGCTTGCTATTGTCACTGCGTATTCTTTTTACCTGGAAGCCAGCAGTGGGAGCTTGGATGCCAGTTGGAAGTTAGTGAAGCCGATGACTTTCCATCAGTTCCGCGACCGACTGTCAACCCAGATGCTCCAATACAAGCCAAGGTTCAATATGTACCCAGGTGATTCAGGATTTCGCTCTGTTACAGTTCTTTCAAAGAAGGCACGCTCCAAGACTCATGTGGTCCCAAGCAAGAGATCTCGCCAGACTGCGGTGTCCGTCAGTACTGGTGGTCAGCACTGTGTTTTGATTGACGAGTTGGACAATGCCAGGAAGAGTAAACGATTATGTGGTGCCTTCAACCATACTGAGCTGTCAAAGCACCTAGCATCATTCCTTGAGAAAGGAGCTTCGATCTCTTCAGGTTCAAAGTGTGCTTGGTGCGGCGAGAAGGCATACCAACGATGCACCGAATGCACAAAGGTAAATCGTGCTCTGTGGATTGGCACAACGATAGCAACTTTGGATTGGGGTACAAAGACTGCAAGAGCCTCGCCTCCAAGGTAAGTGTCAATTGGAGTTTGCCATCTTTGGCGGCCAAGAAGGCTAACATGGAGCACATTGATGGACTTAGTGGACCTATCTAACACTACACTATAGTATTCGTATTATTGTTACTATTTATTGGTCTTTTGGCTGTAGTTTTCTACGATACAGTATTGCAATAGATGCAATGGATGTTTCGGATTTTTGTGGGGTGTTGGACCTCCACGTGGTGTTACTCCATGTAAAAATATCGCGCAATATCGTGGTGTCGCGCAGCATTTTGTTTGCTCCGACTAAACGATAGGGGTCGACTTGGTGGGGCATATTCTCATGACGCTTGCATTCATTCAGTACAGCTCGGATGGGAAGCGCCAAATCATGGTCGGCCCGATTAGTGTAGCGGGGATCTCGACCACAGAAGTTTTCAAGAAGGGTTGCTGTATCTCGGAGGTAGTTTCCAATGGTCGCTGCCTTGATGGGCTTACCCTTGACAGTGTTGCCCACCGCCAAGTCAACTGCGAAAGCGGCAAGAAGGTGTGTGCGGGCATCATGTGAGACGGACTCCAACAGCAAATCCATTGGTGGCCAATTCAGACGACGCAGAAAGCGGAGGAAATGGATGCGGTGGGAACGAATTGTCCCAAGGACTCTGGTAGATCTGGTGGGACCGGACTTGAGCTGCATAACAGCGCGGATCTGAGAACGGAGATGAGTTCGGCACTGGGCTGGAAATTGCGCAAGGCGTTCATCCAAGGATACTTCTGTGATGTCTGCATAAAAAGGCGTTCATGTGAGAGAGAGTCGGGGCGAGAAATCCAATCAGCAAGGACATTGTCATCGCCAGGGATGTGCACCGTGTGGCAAACCAAAGTAGATCTCTTCAAGAGCTGACCGTAGAGCGCAACCAAGGCTTGAGCCAACGGACTGGTGGTCCGTGTGTCATTGATCCAAGACACCGTTGCAGTGTTGTCCGTGCAACAACGAAGGACTGGGAACGCCGGAATACCATTTGGGAACAAATCACATATGGGAGCAGGGAGCGCAGAAGACTCAATGGTAACGACAAGGGCCACTGTCTGCAGGAAAGAAACAAGGCACTCCAACACATTGATGTGGATGTAGGATGCATCGGAGGGCTTTAACGGTCCGTCCGCCGCTCAACAGGACATCTGTAGGTGGAAGACTGATGATCCAAAACCCCATGCAGAACTAAAATCAAAATTTCTCCCATACAAATGTCTTAGCTTAAGTCCTTGGCTTTCATCCTATTGGGTGAGCACCTCTCTGCTATGCTCTAGTGAGTCGCTTTAGCACAATGTTATCAGCTCCTTTTGATTGATATCCAAAGGATTTATTGACATTTTGCGCTACAGCAGCTCTCTAGAGCATAGCAGAGAGGTGCTCACCCAATGGAATGAAAGCTAAGGACTCAAACTAAAACATTTGTATGCAGAAAATTTTGATTGTAGGTCTGTATGGGGCTAAAAATCTTGGATCAGCAGTCTTCCGACAAATTAGTATGAAAATGATCTGTTGAGCGGCGGACGGACCGTTAACTTAGTACTTGCCACAATTAGTTTACTCCAAACAACACAAAAAAAGTAGTCAAGGGACGTAGAATAAGCACCACCCCCAATGAAACTAGCATCACCAAAGGACTCGAAATGGTGGTCGCGAGGGATCATCTGGGGAATGAAATCTTCCATTCCTCAGTTCATAGGCTGTGGATAATCACCTTGACCTCTCAAATTGCAGCCTGTAGGATTGTTTGGAGCCCCGTAGAACTTTTGCCATTTTGCGGCTCAAGATTCCATCCATGCGGTGGATAAAGGTAGAAGACAGTCAAGAAGCGATCTGAAGTTCCCAGTCCTTCCGCCTGTGTTACCCAATGAGGGTGCTGTATGGATGAACGAGGATCAAACAAAGAAGGCGTTGCAAATTGAAGTAAGAACAGCGCATGTGGCGCAAACTGTAGTGGCGTTCGAAAGCAGACCAAGGAGTTCTGCGATTTCTTGAAGGGTTAGACAATGTTGCCGTAGAAAGGTCCTGAGCCGTTAAATGATACAATTTCGATTCTCAGATGGGAGGCTCACCGTAAGGGCGCGAGAATCAATCAGCCAGCCAAGGCAGTGTCGATGGTAGAGAAAGTAGTGGTGAACTTTTCCCAAGACACGCAATCTCCAATCCCTTTTGAAGCATCTGGGAAGCCAAGGATCAAGTAGAGAGCCAGAACACTGGAGGCTATTGTCTGTCTCAGTGTCTTGGCAACATCGACATAAAGACAATCATACACATGGTGGTCAAAATTGGGTGGAATCCAAGATCTGTCCGGATTGAAGACACCTTTGTTGATGGAATCGGCGTCCGCTGGGGTGAACTGTGCGATCTCGTCAGGTGTTGGCTCAGGTGATGTCGATATCACCGGAAGGTGTCGTAGAACTCGAGAAATCGTAGAAGCCTGTGACCAGAGGAAGCGTGCAAGAGCCATACGGCTTAAGGCTATAATCTCAAAATTTGACGGGCAGGTATTGCCACCGAATGTCAGACCAGTGCAGAAGAACAGGAAACCGAAAATGGAAAACGTATGCAATCCAATTACATTTGGGTTCCATTTTCCGTGGCGAAATGCGCCCGAGACGTCGTCGTCACCAAGGTAAAGTTCCTCAGATTTGTAGCTGATCCGAGCATTGTAGATATATGCCAGGTGGTTCCGAAGCGATTTTGGAAATTTGACCTTATGCTCCGTATCTTTGTGACAGAAATAAATGAAAGTAGATGAATAGACTTAAAGCCTATAGTGCGACTGCTATTCTACGAGATGATAGAGATCAATTCAGGTAAAACAACGTGCAGTGAGAAAAGCGATTGCCAATCTCTAGAATTATCGCAGAACGATGATGACTCAGCATTCTCTTTGCTAATTCACTGGCGTGTAGTGGTTCATGCACGTGCAACGCATGCACGGCACAGGCTACACTTCAACCTGGTGGTCGAGTCACAAGTCCCATTCCTATTAGAATTCTGTCACTCCCCAAATGGGGCAAAGTGAGAGGACCTATTCCTCTTGATCAGCAGTATCACCAGACCAGAACATTAGAGTCCGTAATAGTGGCCAGATTTGCTGACGGCCCCAATGCTTGCTGAGAATATCAGCGGGGTTGAGAACATCGTCAACATGGATAAACGATAACATGTTGGATGCTACTGCTTCTCTCACATGGTGGAATGATAATGCAACATGTCGCTTGTGTAGTTTTGCTTCAGGTCGGGAAGAACTGTTCACAACAGATTCATTATCACACCAAGGTACCTCAGGTCCATAATCTGTTCAACACAGGTTCGGGCAGCCACAAACTCAGAACTATAAGTAGCAGTCTCAACGGTTGACTGCTTCTTTGAAAAGAAATCGATTGGAGCCCCATTCATCATGTGAATGAACCCGCAACAGACCGGCCTGTCAAAAGACAGTGGTAGAGATTTGCATCCACATAGTGAGTGAGGATGACTGCAAGCCCAAGTGGGGGGTTGCATCTCTTGGAATCTCTTCAGTTGGACAGCCATATACAGAATTGGCCCAATCTAATACAGGTTCTGGGACATCACTGTAATCGGGTAGTCCAGTGCGGAAACGGATACAAGCTTCCTTGAACTTTACTAGATAGCCACAAACCCGCTTTGCAGAGTTCAAATGACCAACTCTGGGTGCTGATCTAAAACTCGACAGAGTCATTACCGCGGTAGTGACATTTATTGTGTCAAGAGCTTTGTACGGATTACGTTTGAGCAAAAAAATGTGGCATCAGAGGTTTTCAGCATGTCTAAGCCAGATATTTGGATGAGGCCAACTGCTGACGGGTCCTCCTACGAGTATGTGGGAGTGTATGTTGACGACCTCGCGATGGCAATGAAAGACCCACAAGCTTTTGTAGACAAACTGATCAAAGTCTACAAGTTCAAGCGGAAGGGCACAGGACCACTTGAGTTCCACCTTGGATGTGACTTCTACAGGGACAAGCATGGGGCACTTTGCATGCACCCAAAGAAGTACATTGACCGCATGGTAGATAGCTACCAATGCATGTTTGGTCAAAAGCCAAAGACCAACGTGTGGTCACCATTGGAGAAGGGAGATCATCCAGAATGCGATACATCCGAGCTACTTGACTCTGAAAGAGTCACTCAGTATTAATCGTTGGTTGGTCAGTTCCCCTCCCCAAATCAATGAAGACCTTGTACTCGGCAAGCTGATCCATCTCGCCTTTTGTGGCATCCTGCCATTTGGTGTTGCCGTGGAGCTTGTCAAGCCGAAGGGCATCTTTGTAGTCCTTCGGGATCTTGAATCCGTACATGTATCTTGGTGCTGTACTGAACGATCTGAGCTTGGCTTGGTTAATTAGGCAAAAAAGTTTCTTCTTCTTCTTTGCTATACTTCTAAAGGGTTTCCAACCAGGTAAACCCAGTAGATTGTTCTCTCTAGCGTATCTAGCACATGCCACTGGGTCATCGGCTCCAATGATGCTCAGTGGTTTGGGAGTGATCTCCCCATTCTCCCATTCAATGGTTACGTTGTAGGTTGAACCCATGTAGGATGGATGGTCAGGTCAAAGTGGTCCCTGATGGGAGATGATTCGCTTGAACTTCCAAACTATTGGGTTCTCCAGATCGGCTTCCAAGCGCTCTAGGATCTTGTTGTATGCCATGATATCATCGTATCCACCTTTGTTAATGCTCACACAAAAACGAATATGTTCAGGCTTGTTGGTTCTGTTGTGCTCATGCTTGTCAATAAGCTCAACAATCTCAGCACGTCTGACATAGCCTTCTTTATCTGGTTTAAGAAGGAATGTTCAACCAATGAGATCACTGTTTTCCACAAGAACGTCTTCAGAGTCTGATTCGTCGTCACTGGAATAAAGAATGGTTTGAACTTTAGTCTTGTCGTTTCTGGATTTGATTATTGTAGGGGCTGACAAGCCCTCCCCATCAGATGTATGAAGACGTTTGTTGGGATCAGTGTCAGTTGAAGCAGAGCGGATTTCCGAACAAAACAATATTTTATTCGTTTCTGGGTTCAGGATCTTGTAGGTCATGGCATGACCAACGTGCTCAACAATGCCTACCATGTAGCCAAGGGACTCCGGAGAGTCAGAAGGGAAGGCCGGTTCTTCCGTTTTATAGTATACCTTTTCATAAAAGTGGAAACAAAGGAGTACACTAATATCCGGGGTTATACCGGTCAGCGCTTGGATTGGAGTCACCCATCCAAGGCCCTTGACAGCAGTATAGTTGTAGACAAAAGATGCATAGCGAAGGGCTAGGAGCCATAGAGTAGGAGGTGCTCCGGTGCGGTCCAGAATCCTGTTGGCTAATCGTTTAACATCTTGGTATCTTCGTTCGGCTGGGTTCTGGTTCTGGCGATGCGGTTCGCTTTGCCAGTCATCGATGCATAGCCAACGGAGGTAGTCTTTCACTGCTTTGGAAACTTGTGCTTGAGCCCGATCGCTCACAAGTTTGGATGGTGCTCCTCGCTTCCGTACGTTGTCCTGTAATGTCTGGAGAAATTGAGCATCCAAAGTGACACCATAGACGTCGCTAACAAGAGAGGATAGTCCCACATAGAACTGGGCTGCCACATGTCCATGTTCAATGTCTGGCGTGTCAGCATAGACGGTATCGGTGGCTAAACCTTCATTTCGTCTGTTGACATTAAGCGCTGGGAACGGTGAACGGTAGTGACGTTGAAGGTGGGCACTCATGGGAATGCGAGCCAACTGAGTTGTACAGTCAAAAGTTTTCTGAATTACGAGCTTAGGCAACCATGCAGAGTATTGTCGCAGTCGCTCCCAATCGCGTTCACGAGACTTCACTGCAGAGCTCGGATTCTTATACTCTGTAGTAGTTGGTGGCAGAGGTTCTTGTGCTTGCTTGGTTCGTGGGGGAGGGCCATTATCAGTTCTCTCCCCATTGCGATTACCATTACTATAACGAGTCTTTTGTCTTGGATTGCGCCTCGGTGTAGGAGGTGCGTTAATAGTAAGCATATCCTTTGGTAAACCAGTAGCTGTATTGACAGATCGATACGTTTTACCATCTATCACGATCTCGTGTTGCTTGGCTTCCTGCTTGCCTTTGGGTTTGGAGGGCACATCGGCAAGCTTATCCGACATCAAACGCTTTATGTCTCCAGGTTTGAGAGATTGACGTTCAGTCACATGCGCTAGGATGCTGTCTCTGGCGGTGTCAACCACTTTAGGAGGAAGAGCACCAGAAGCACTCCCCATGCTCGCATCCTGCAAGTGGTCGAGGAGTTCAGCAGCCGAGATGTCATGAAGATTGACCGTCATGCGGGATCAGAAGATGCTCCAAGAATAATGGCCTTTGCTTTATCAGGAAGCTGTTGCCAATGGCGACGATGTTGGATATATTAGGATTTTCGAAGTACATATTTGGAGAAACGAGAAAAAGAGAATGCATGTGAACGATAGAGAAATGATGTCGACTGATACGACTAAAAATGAAGACTGATACGACTAAAAACATCGAGCGTGGCGAGTCAGAAAACGAATTATATTTCTATGGAAATCATCCTGTTGATGATGTAAGAAAGCAAGACTCAAGCAAGAGCCAAAGTTGGATACTAATCAAAGTACCGACTACAGTGGAATGTGAACGGATAAACAGATTGAACTTGCAGCATGTCAGGCTGACGTAGAGAGAATTCTAAGAATTTCCACTGAGCTGGAGAAGAAAGAGTCAAAGTCAGAAGTTGACAGACTGTTCTCACTTTTTATAATATATTGCAAGCAACGAGTGAATTGGTTGATAAAGTAGGATCTTTGATTGATCTATATACTTCTATATACTGTAAATTCACATACTTAGAAGGCAACAATACCTGGACAGCTAAATCGCAGTCAATTGAAACAGGTAGATTGCAGGCGGCACTGGATCGCTTACTTCTAACA